AGAGTCATCTTTCCAATTGATTAAGCAGAAGTTGACTACTGCTCCAGTTTTGGTGCTGCTTGACTTTACCCAACCATTTGAGCTGTATTGTGATGCTTCGAAAGTGGGTATTGGTGGTGTGCTGAGTCAGAACAACCGCCCTGTTGCATATTTCAGTGAGAAGCTTTCTGGGTCAAAGTCTCGGTACAGTACTTATGATGTTGAGTTCTATGCAATAGTCCAGGCCGTTCGACATTGGCGTCACTATTTGTTCCATAAGGAGTTCATTTTGTATACGGATCATGATGACCTTAAACACCTTGGTACTCAGGATAAGGTTTCTGCTCGACATGCCTCTTGGATTGCTTATCTACAGCAATTTACTTTTGTGATCAAGCACAAGGCAGGTGCCCTTAACAAAATTACGGATGCGTTGAGTAGGCGCCAAACGCTCCTTACAGAAATGCGAGTGGAGGTTCCAGGTTTTGACAGGGTGTGTGATTTATATGCTACTGACCCATACTTTTCCCATGTTGTCCAGAAGTTGCAGGAGGGTGTGCAGTCGGAGTTTACATGGGTTGACGGTTTTCTTTTTCATGGAAATCAGTTGTGTGTTCCAGAGGGCAGTTTGAGGTTGAAGATCATTCAAGAGTTGCACAATGAGGGCCATGTGGGTCGTGACCGAACATTGCAGCTTGTTGCTGCTTCTTACTTTTGGCCATCATTGCGCAAGGATGTCAACAAGTTTGTGGAGCGTTGTCGGGTTTGTCACTTGGCCAAGGGCAAGGCGACCAATGCGGGCTTGTATATGCCCCTACCTATCCCAACCCAGCCTTGGACAGATGTGAGTATGGATTTCGTTGTGGGACTTCCCAGGACCCAGCGTGGTTTTGATTCAATCTTCGTAGTGGTTGATCGGTTTTCAAAAATGGTACATTTCATTCCCTGCAAGAAGACTACAGATGCTGTCAATGTAGCCTTATTGTACTTTCGTGAAGTTTATCGCCTTCATGGACTGCCTACATCTATTGTGTCCGATCGGGATACTCGTTTCCTCAGCCACTTTTGGCGCAGCCTATGGCGCTCTGTGAATACACGGCTGGACTTCAGCAGTGCATATCATCCTCAAACAGATGGTCAAACAGAGGTTGTTAACCATTCCTTAGGTAATTTACTACTTTGTTTGGTTGGTGATCACATTAAGTCTTGGGATCAGCTGTCACTGAATATAAGCGTGCTGCAGATCTCAAGCGCAGACATGTTGAGTTTGAGGTAGGTGACTTTGTTTGGGCGGTGTTAACAAAGGATCGTGTTCCTGCTCATGAATACAACAAGCTTACCGCGAAGAAGATTGGTCCGTTGGAGGTCATTGAGAAAATCAATCCAAATGCTTACCGTTTAAAGCTGCCCAGCCATATTCGTACCTCCGACGTGTTCAATATCAAGCATTTGGTGCCATTTCATGGTGATAATTCTGGTGATGATGATGAATCTCCTTTCCCGTCAAATTCGAGGGCGAATTTTTCCCACCCTGGGAGAATGATGAAGTGCACAAGGGATTAGAGTTCATGGCAAAATGGGACCATTACAAGGCAAAAGTTGGTAAAAGGGGCAAATGATTTCATGATGACTTTGGGTTTGCTCGTTTTTGGCAAATCACTAGTCTAATTTGATTGGAGCCGAGCCAAGGAATAAAACTCAATGCCTTCGGCCTTGACGCAAGACCAATTTCGGGCAAAATCCATCGTTTAGGCCCTCGTTTAATCGTTTTTGCTATTTATGGTAATTTTCATTTTTTGCAATATCTCTTTCCATGAAATTCGGAATTAGATTCCGTTTGTTGGAGGATGATCCCGAAGATAAGTATTTTCCATCTTAGTAATTATATCATATTTTCCATTTTTGGAAAAAATATCTTTATTTTATTTTATTTTATTTTCCGGATTTTCCTAAGTTTTTCCTATTTAATCAGCTGTAAGCCCTTAGAGGCAGTAGTTCTGGAATTCAATAAAATCTTCCTTGAGAGTTTTCTCAATTTGTGATTGTTCATCTTCCCTATAATATTTCCACTACGTCATTAGGGCATTCTAACACTGTGTTAGAATGCAAAGAAATAGTACAAGGGTTGTGCGACAACTGATGGCACTCCGACTCTCAAATCAAATTTTGAGATTTGGGCGTGGGACACAATTTTTGCTCAAGTTTTGGATATTTTGTACATTTGACTATTGTACACCTTTTACAAAGTGCAAGTCTCGAGTATTTTGAGTTCAAAATATTTTTGACTTTTTAATCATGGGTTCTGCTAAGTGTGATACCCCATTGTACAGTCCTCCTCACAAAGGGGCCACAATTTTTTATTGGGCATGGGCCCTCCTTTTGTGAGTGGGCTGTACCTTAGCGTAAAAATAGAAAAACTCTCTAATCTTAGAACTGATTGATTCGGACTCATGTCAGCAAGTTACCCACCCTCTCATTGTTGTATATTTGATTTGCCCTTTAACCGTTCCTTTCTTTAGGACCCTCCTATTTTGCCAAATGTGGCACTTGTGGGTGGTCCCTCAATTAGTTGTCTAAGGAATGTCAAAATTGTTTATGATATTTACTAGTTGAAAATTGTTTGCGGCTAGCATGTGGTTCACTCTCTATACCTTTGCCTCTTTTGGAAAGATCATGTGTGATCCTATTGTTTCTATAATAAGTATCAGGAAGATATATTCAACTTTCATTGTCGCGTCTTAAAAGCCTAAAAATACCGTTTGCTCTCACGATTGTAATCTCTGTGAGCATTGCCACCGCCCTATTTAAATCTTTGCCTCATCTCATGTCAAATAGATGGGGTTGGCGCTAATCCCTCGAACATTGTCTTGTGGCAGTTAAGATAGAATAAGAAGTTGGAGGCACACTAAAGTTCTCCCTTTAACCATTGCTTTGCATAGGTTGCCCTCTTCTTCGATCAAGTCGACGTGGGTTAAGGTATTGGTATGTGATATGACGTAGCATCTACACAAGCTCAACATGGAACAAAACATATTACACTGTTTGTATTGGACAAAATTAGTTTTTTTTTTTTTTTAAATAATTCTTTAGGCTAAATACTCTCTCTCTCTCTCTCTCTTCTTTGGAGTCTTTATTATATTAATTTACATTTAGACAAACATAACATCCTATTTATATGTTTGATAAGTGTGTAAGCTAGAAATTCTTAATTTATGAGGTGACATAATTATAACATGAACAAATATTTCAAATATTTAAAACATAAGTTAATGTTTAATAGCAAACATTAATTATATCAAACTTGAAGGTCAAATAAATAAAAATTGAGTGTTTGATAAAAATTTTGTAAGATTTTACTAAAATTTTATCAACTTTTTAACTAACCAGACTTTACTTGTTATCATAAATTTAGATTCGTAACTTTTATCAATCTTTTAATTAAACATTTTATCGACTTAAAAACTCCCAAAACTTTTTCCAAAACTTAATCAAAGAATGACGTTGTGAAAGTGCAATTGAAATGCGTCTTTCACTAGAAATCAACGAGGAAAAGAGGTCGTATGTTCTGCTAAGATCGTAGTTGAGGGGAAGTGAAAGAGAAGAAGAAATTTTTTTGATTGTTTCGAAAGAGAAGAAGAAAATTTGACGAATTCGAAAGAGAAACATTCAACGATATGGGTGGGAAAATCAGATATCCAAAAGTTTTTCTCGGATTCATTTGGACTCTTCTTTTACTAACTTCCTATCAAGTTATCGCTAAATCTCGTGTTCCCATCTCTGTAAGTGTAGCCTTTTGAGGTTTTTTTTTTTTTTTTTTTTTTTTTTTTTTGGGGGGGGGGGGGGGGGGGGGAAA